CTACATTATTGTGGATTCCCTAATGGTTTTATAATAATTTATATATATATATATATATATATATATATATATATATATATATATATATTTATTTAAATTGGTGGTCAGTTGATTTATGTTTTCCTAAGGAGAATGCAACCCAAATTAACTTCGTTATAATTAAATGTTAAAAAAAGTCAATTATCCAAACCGATTCATAGCTTGAACGTAACTCGAGATAAAAGAGCATCTTCAAGTTTATAAGTCAATGTTTTCTTTGGTCATAGATCCTGCGACTGTTATTTGGTAATTAAATACGTTTTAATACATGCTCTTGAATTGAAACAAATTCTATCAGGCTTTATTATGGAAGATAATGCTTTCCTAAAGAAATTGGCATTAACAGACTTTGACAAGCTTTTCTGGATATACTTTTATTTAGACTAGCAATATATTGCCTGAGTTTCAGTTTATAGTATGTAACCTCATTAAAAATATTAATAATAACTAGTTTAGGCGATGTCAAGTTTTGATATGCATACAAACCTTACCAGTTATACTGTGACCTTTAAAAGTCATCAGTAAAATATATTAATATTACGATGAGTTAGAAGTTATTTTGTTTTAGGGAATCAATTGGAATAATGATTGCATCATTATACATGTTAATATAGAGTAGACTAACATACTTTAGTTTGTTTTTTTTTCATGCCAGTAGCAGCATACACAGTGGATTAGAGAAAAATGCAGTGAGAACTCAATGCCGCATAGAGCAAGAATAACACAGGAAACAATTTTGGAACTCGGTTGGTCTGTTCTATCCCACCCGCTATATTCCCTTTGCTTTGAACCAACCGATTACGTTTTACGATCGCTGCAAAACATTCCAATGGGAAAATCTTCTCTCATGAAAACCAGATTGAAGAATTCGTCCAAAGGTTTTGCGCATTAAAATCTACGGAATTTTACTCAAAAGGCATCAAAGAGTCGCCGGACTAGTGGCATGAAGACATTGCAAACAATGGTGAATATATAATAGAATAAAATATAAGTAGACGAGTATCCTTGAATACGAGGATCCCTATTGCAGACGCTTTCTCAGGCGCATTTGCGGTTTATACTGCAACTATGCTGAGCAGACCTTAGCAAAAATTTCTGGGGTAGGCCAGAACGCTCAAGCCCTTATCCACAATGCCTTGTGACTCATCACAGCTATCGACGGCCCCAAGGATTACGTCTACCCAATTTCACTCACAAGGCTTGCTGTCCGATAACATCTTGAAGACTCCTTCGTGACAAATTGATCATGGTCAGATTCGAAACCGGGTCTCTGGATCTCAGAATGCGAACGTTCTAGCCATGGCACTATATTCATTGACGAATAAACTTGGTAAACAAAAAACGGAAAATTATTTCAGACTTTACTTAATCCTATCATCACTAACGTATAATAGATAAACTGACGATATATTATAAATTTTGCAAAGTTTAACAGTACAAGAGTATACGAATTGCCGGATTCTTAAGAAGATTGTGCAGCGCCAATTTTCTTGCTTGGAATAATAAATTTTCAAAATCCTAAGAGTTCTAAAAATATTTTTAGCTTTATCATCAGAGAAAGGCAAATTAAAAATATTTAAAAAATAAGTAAATATAGGTAAAATAAATTAAATAATAAATAAATAATAATAAATAATAATAAATAATAAATAAAATAATAAATAAATAATAATAAATGAATAAAATAATAAATAAAATAATAAACAAATAAATAAATAAAATAATAAACAAATAAATAAATAAAATAATAAATAAAAATAATAAATAAATAATAAATAAAATAATAAATAAATAATAAATAAAATAATAAATAAATAATAATAAATGAATAATAAATAAAATAATAAATAAATAATAATAAATAAAGAATATAAATAATGAATATAAATAATGAATAATACTAATAATAAATTATAAATAGATAATAATAATAATAATATATATATAAATAATAAAATATTAAATAATAAATAAATAAGTAAACATAAGTAAATATTAGCAATAATTTAATTAAATATTAAATTAATAAGTAAATCAATAATGATTATTTTTTTAGAAATTCTTTTTCTCGATTTATTCGAAATTTTCAGATAACTAACTGAAGTACTTAATGAATAGTATCAATTGAGAAAATGGTAAATTATTTTCTATAACAAGCTGAGCTGTAGTCTGTGTGATAAGCCCAAGGCTGTGTCGGAATGAAAACAATATGTTGAATAAATTTACTTTCATTTGCAATTGTTCTGATATTTCTGTCTTATATAGAAGAACTTATTAAATAAATCTGAACGACGGTTTTATAGACAACCGATAAATACACAATTTTCTGCAAGAATATTTGTCCTCTAGATTATTTTCCTTGTTTATTAAGATTAATCAATTCGAATTTGATTTGATAGCATTAATGTACTCAATTTACATCACTAAAACAATTTAATACGGCAAATCGTAATCAATAAAAGTGAATTAATAACCCTCTTCTTTTATGAGCTGTGTCCATTCAGAGCGATAAGAATCATGGCTCTCCACAACTTCATATCGTTTGTAGCATTAAACAATATTAGTTCCTAATGATCTATTTATATTGTTAGGTTTAAGAGAAAAGGAGTGTTGGCATCTGGTCCCAGTAGCATCAATCTCAAAAGACTGTGAATGAAAACAATCGAAATTTGATTGCTGTCAAAGAGAACACCGTTGATGATTTCCCCTGAGAATACGCAAGACGATACACTACACGATCAAGTAGCGTCCTATATAAAGAACATCAACAGCAACGAATAATGACCAAAGCGTATATATATATATATATATATATATATATATATATATATATATATATATATATATATATATATATGCTTAATTTGAATAGTCATATTAATGCAGATAGATAACAATAAAAATCATAAATATCAAAATGATTAATGTATTCCTTTGAGGCACATCCCTTTGAGCAAATGCCTGTTGATCTCATCAACATTCCAGATAATGAAGGAAATATCCTTATCTGTTGAAATCAACCATGTTTTTATTTTGTTTTGTTTTAGTATCTGTTTTAGCATTTGTTTGCTTTTAATATTGTTCGCCTGATACAAGGTTCAAGAGTCACTCAAAGCAGATGCTTACTGAATGAGCTTATCGCATGAACGCAAGAGGAGGAGTAAGAAGTACATAGCATGAGGATATGAAGGATAGATATCATTTGGCAATAGACGTGAAGTGGTTAAGATTGTTGTAATCGGGGAAGTATCCTCTCGGGAGTTTGTTCCACAAAGTTACAGTTTTGAAAAAGAAACTCTCCTAATGGTACTTCCTACTGACAAATACAAATACGAAGGGAAGGAGGAGGATTCAAACCTGTATATGTGGCAGGGCGGCTCCTAGATGTGAAGGTCTGAACTAGTGGA